CTCAGATCATCTCACTTGACGGGAACTTTACTACGGGTCTCTAAGTATGAGATACAGAATTTGAAGTTATAAGTACTTCAAATACAATAAATATTGCAAGGAACTCAGAAGAGTAGATCTTGACTTATTCGATTTTAGACTTCAAAACTCCTGCAAGAAACCTAATTACCTGTCTATTAACCACTGTATCCAGCTTGGATTGGCACATATAGAAGGCGATATGATCCAGAAAGCCACGGATACTGTTGTACCGACCACGGATAAAAGTGCAAAGTATAGACCAAAGTTCCACCTTAAGAAAAAAGACAGTATTAAGAAACGCTTTATATCAATTATATAATGAATGCTTAATGTAATTAAGAATTTTTGGATGAGCTACGCATTATATTATCATGGTATAGAGTAAGAGTTTATTAAAAGAATAACGGAAAATTTTTGTATTTGTAGATACTTGAGAAAAAATTGTATTAGAATAGTTTGGTTAAAAAGATGGAAAAAACCTTTCCAGATCAATCCACGAGAGAACAATTCCCCCTATTCCTATTGAAAAACATATACAAGTCGCTAGACAGGCGTAGAACATAGTGGATGGGAACTTACTAGTAGGCGACCCTGAAATGAGTTATAACATAATGAAGTGAGAGCTTCAGACTGCTAGCATAAGTGCGCACGTATGACTGAATGCTTTACATTTGCAGAAAGTATCAAAGATAACTACGTTATGGCACTCAAAATAGTATGGCATGCTTGCTCGCAAAAAGTTTTCGCCAATGAAATTATTGCAGAAGCTAAGACTTAGATATGTCGTAAGCCCAAATGCACTGCATTGATTTATGAAGACTCTCAACAAAAAATAGGCAACAACGTCGGATTATGAATTCACTGGCGTTCCCTGTTGAAATCAACTAGTTTTATTACCTACGAGAATGAAGATGAGAGCTGGCTAGCCGGCTTGAAGGACGCTCCAGAAAACCGCTCAAAGATAAAAGTTTAAGAAGAAAACTGGTTGTTTCGAGATGATTTCTGATTCTCATTGCTTAATCTTGTATTCAACATATTTGTTAAGTGTGGTCTCGCCTAACACCTCTCCCTTCAGCATCAGACGCTTCATCTCAGCAAAGCGTGCCTTGTTAACATTGACCACCACAGAAGTGAGGTGCTTAACCTTTTCCGCTACTAAGTTTGAGGTAAGTCCTTCCCTTATTTGCAATGAGCAACATTTATCGGCTACTTCTTTTATGCAAAATCAGAAATTGTGAAGCAGATTGATACATGGCCTGTTCTAGACCACAGTCGCCATCAGCAGTATGTTAGCATAGAAAGTTTATTTCATCAAAGTTTGTTTTTAGAAAATCCCGACGATCTATATGTTGCTCAATTCCTTAGATCAATACATAAATTATCAACTTA